GACTGGTTTCCTGGAACCGGACAGAACTTGTTCGGGGTAGGTGGGATTGGGTGCTAGGACCCCCCACCCGTGTATGAGGTCCGGGGCCATCTGGGGCACGGATATTGCTGGGGTGTTGGAGGGGTTTTGCTCATGAGGCTTCAGGCAGGCTGCTGAAGTGCTCTGTGGGACTGGTGTGTGGCCTGTTTGGAAAGATCACCAGTCTGGGGGCTGTAAGGAGCCCCGGATTCGAGCAATTCGCCCTGAGTGGACACCCACAGCAGTGCCCAGACACGGCCCGGTCTGTCACAGGGGGTGGGCCTGACCCGGGCAGTGCAGATCCCAGGGTGCTCCTGCCCCCCGCACGGTCCAGGCGAAGCGCGAGTCAGTCCGGCTGCGGCTCCACCACACGCTTGACCAGCGTGCAGGAGCATGGACCGGGCTGCCCCTCCTCCTCACACGCAACCAGGGCTCCCAGCGCCAATCGCACACCGCCTCCCAGACACTCCCCCCGCCAGACTTCCGGGAGCCCAGTCGAAAACCAGAAAATACGGGATATTGCGTATGTCCGGTATTTTCTGGATTTTTTTACCAGACAGAGCCCCAAAAAACCAGACTGTCCAGTAGAAAACCAGACACCTGGAAACCCTAAGACATTAGTGTGTGCCTGGGCACACCCAGCAGACCCTGTACGCACGCCAGTGATACCCACCATGGGGCTAGTGGCGCTGTAGCTACACCCTACAACAGCCTCATGGGGCTCGCAGTGCTGGACTACAGCCCCACGACAGCTCCACAGGGCTCCAAATACAGTATACACTGTAGCTATACTCCCCATGGGGCTAGCAGTGCTGTAGCTACAATCACAGGGGCGAGGAGGAGCAGAGGGAATGGAGGACAATGTGGCTTGTTTATCCGGGGTCAGTGGAGTGGCTGTTTGCAGCCAGAGGTGCCAGTGCTCACAGCTTTGCAAGGGCCGGGCGACCCCTTACTCAGCTCTGTCTCTGTCAGCTCGCGTGGTTTTATTGCAAATCTCTCCCCACACCCTGTTATTCTCCAAGGCACGGCTCCTGCTCTCCTGTTACCTGGGCAGGTGCCAACTTCCTTTGGCCTCCAGATCCACCCTCCAAGTCAGCCATGTAGGAAAAAGTGATTCCCATGGCAGGGCTGTGGGAAGTCAGACACCGCTAGCGCAATGGAAAAAGCTGATCTCCGGGGGTGCCCGGAGGTCTCCCCGGGGGCGACTGGCCAGCGGTGCGTGGGGCTGGCCGTGTGCACAGGAATAATACGGCGCCTGCTGTTGTTGTTTGGCTATGGCCTTGCAGAGCCACATAGACAGGAGAGACGTAGCTCTCGGGTCCCTGCTGCGGAGCCAATGTCGGCCCAGCAATGCCGCTATGGCCTTGCAGAGCCACATAGACAGGAGAGATGTAGCTCCCGGGTTCCTGCTGCGGAGCCAACATCGGCACAGCAATGCCACACGCAGAGCACACACCTTGCCCAGGCGGTTTAATGAGCTTTTCTTGCCCGGGGCAGAATCCAAGTCTGTGCCCCGTCAACGGCCACTTCCATGTATGTGGGGCTCCTATGCCATTTCGGTGTGGTTAGCCCACCTGCCACCCCACTTCTGCATGGACAGCCACGCCTGTTCCCATGTGCCCTCCTTCCATCTGTGCCTAGGCCTGTGCGTGGCATGGCCCACTGTGGCTTTGTGGGCCTCCTCTCAGCAGCAGCAGCTCGTGGCATCTGCTGCTCTTGGGGGGAACAGGATGCAGGCGTGGGAAATCTGGAGGGGGAGAGCCAGACTGCATCTGCCGTGAGGTTTGGGTTGGATAGTGCCTTGTAGGGAGAGAGCAGCTTCCCCGTTTTAATATGCCCTGCCCCTTTCTCCCCCAAGGAAGGGGTGGCAGAGTTTTCATGGGGTCATAGGAACCTGAGTTGTGGAAGGGTTCAGTGCGTCAAATGAAAGTGCTCCCCCCCCCCAATACAGCCCCTGTTAGCATAACCCTAGGCCCAGCTGCATCCAGGGTAGGCAGGGCCTACAAGTTACCCCAGAGCAGCTGGGAGTGCGAACGCAGAAGGAGGCGGGGGATGGTGGCTTTAGTAATTGCAGTTTGCGGTGAAGCTGGCCTGTTAGATAAATGAGTGCAGGTTGAGCCTCTGAGTTCAGCACCCTCGGGACCTGACCGGTGCCAAACCAGAGAATTTGCCAGACCCCGGGTGGTCAATATCGTCTAGCAGCATCACCAACACTGCCACTGCTAGCTGGGCTCTTAGAAGACATTTCAGGGTAAATTAGAGCCAAATAGCAGCCCAGAACACGGACAGCCAGGACTGGAGGCTGTAAACAAACTTTATGGGACCACAGGGAACTTGGCCACTAGGGATATAACACTACAATTGATTAACCGATAAGAAAAAGTGTATAGGTTAATGCTGCAGACTACACACATTTTCCCCCCGCCCTTTGCCAGTACATTTTTTAGCAGGCTGGCCAGCAGCCCGGCTCAGTCCCAGCTTGCGCTGGGTCCAGGACCTGCTTCCGCTGCGGCTCTGCATTTAAAATGTATTAGGAGCCAGGCAGGCATGCAGCCTGGTCCAGTTCTGGCTCACGCCAGGTCCAGGAGCTCAGACACCCCCTCTGGACAGGGGCTGCTGCCAACCTGTGCTGCTGCCTCTGTATCAGAGGCAGCAGCGTGATGTGTCAGGCAGCTGGTTATTAGGGGAGCTGGTTTGTAAATTGGCTCCCCTTGTGGACCAGCTCCCACCTAGCACCGCGGGAGTGGGGCCGGAGTGCACTAGCTGCCAGCCCCACCCTGGAGACTATAGAATAGCTGACTAACCAATAAGAATTCATGAGGTTAATCGACTATTCAATTAACAGATATTTAACATCCCTAGGCCACACCCACGCTGCCTCCAATCATGCCGGACTGTGGATGTTTCCAGACCAGAGAGTTCCGTTCTAGCGAGGTTCAACCAGTCTAAGCATTGATCAGTAGCTATTGTGGCCCCCAGGGTCAGAGAAATCAAGCAATGGGGTCCTTCCCCAGTTTGCAGCGGGAGCTAGCACCACAGCTGGTATTTCTGCCCGGCACAGGCAGAGCTGGTGGTTCTGTTACTAGCCTTAGTCTGCACAGGCGGGTGTCTCTGCGGCTGGAGTCTGGCTAACGGCCCTTGCTGGTAGTGCTTGGGGGCACGCCCCGTTGGGTCGGATGGCTTAGGGAGGTGCTTTTCAGAGACAGCAGGGGAGTGCAGGGCAGATTTTCCAGATGGGTGTGATTCGCTGTGGGGAGACCTGGGAGTTACCTTATGGGCGGAACAAGCTGTGGGGGAAAAGCCAGGGCCCTGCTGAAGGACTCCCCAGAGGAGGGGCAGCATTAGGGATACCCCCAGCCCCTTTCCGAAGCTCTAGGGGTTGATGAAATGCCCGGGGGGATGTAGGGCCGCACCCTCGCCACGTGGGGGTTGGGAAGAGGGTTCACGGGGCTCCCCGCCGCAGGGGGCTGCAGGGCTGGGGTCTGGCTCTGGGAAGGAGCGGAGCGTTCTCAGCTTCCCCCGCTAGGTGGGGCTGTGGGGCAGGACGCGGGCGGTTCGGTGCGGCACCAGCCCGGAGAAGGCAGCGGCTGGCGGGCGCTGCGCAGTAGGGCGGTAAGTGCGGCCTCCGGGGGGCTGGGGTGGGCTCCGCGCCGCGGGGAGGCCCTGGCGGGCACGGCTCG